GCATCGAGTATATAACCAGAAATGAGAGACGAAATGTCATTTAATTTGTTTGAAAACTATTCTGCCATATCATTACGGTGACAACTGCGCTCCGGGTGGCCATCCCGAATTCGAAACAATTGAAAATTGCAAAATTACACGATTAATATTTAATTACCGATGAAATGTGGTGCAGTTTGTTTTGTGATTAGACGTTTTGCTGTTTTTCCCACACCAACGGAAAAACAGCCCCCCATTGTTAGAGATATTATCTTTATTACAATAAATACAGAATATTTTTGGAATATATGGAGACGTACACACAGGTCAGTTGTTGGCGCTGTACTATTTCAGCTTTCTAATTTGTGATTTCAGCGCTAACGAGAGTTGATATTTAAAAGTGATACAAGGCCCATTTGCCTGATAAATAGCCAGCGATTGATGGCCCTTATTTGATCTCTACTTCTGGTTATATACTCGATGGGTTGGCGTGACAATTCTTCCTTTTTGAAGAGATCTATCGTTATCAGAGCTGATACGCTTCACGTTTTCTCTTTCGCACATGTTTAAGGATGATATGCGCGAATGAGAAAACACATGCTACCATCGTTCTGAATGTAACTAGTGTCTTTGGCTGGTATTCATAAAAGATTTTAATAACTCCGAGGACTGCTAAACTCCAGAAAGTGGGTGAAATTAAACAGCACATTCTAAGCCCCGCAATAGAGAACCCTGTATCGCGGGTTCCACGGACACATACATAGACCACAAATTACAACCAAACTCACAAGAGAAATTAATGTAGGCCATACAAATATTTCTCCCGGCCCGGGAATCGAACCCAGTCCATCATGGTAACCGTTCAGCCACGGAGGCAGTTGAGAGTGAGTGCTACCATTAACAGTAGAAGAATAATTTCTTCAAATTGTAATGGGCCTACAGAAGAAAATGTGGAGGAGGCTACTCCGACTACAGTCTGCCTCTTAAATAAGACGATGATAACTGAAGTACCCTTCCCAACAAAAAAATAATCATCTAAATCGTTCCACAAGTATTGAAGTAATAATAATAATAACGCACACACTCAACATAGCCCCGCACTAGGGAAACCCTGTGTCGCGGCTGCCATGGACACACGCATAGACAACCACAAATTACACCCAAACTCACGAGAGAAATAAATGTAGGTCATACAAATATTTCTCCCGGCCCGGGAATCGAACCTGGGACCTCTGCGTGGCAGTCCGGCATGGTAACCGTTCGGCCACGGAGGCAGTTAGAAGTAAATGCGATTATTGCACATGCACACCAAAAAAAAAAATTATTGAATTGAACACTTTCTCTTTTTTGAAGTCGATCAAAAATTGATGCCAACGTGTAACCAAGTATCACTGAGTTTTTAATTGGAAACTTTGTTGAACGAAGTTTATTAATAGGGCCTTCTTTGTTTAGCCTTCCGTGGCATCTAACCCGACGTAATTTTACCACCGAAATCAGGCTTAGATTCTACCGTTATACGTATAGTGTTATCACGGAACAATAAATATAGCAGTAGTGCTTAGTGGACGTGGCACGTGTGTCAGCATTTTGCTACTTTGGAATGCAAAAATTATAGTCGCACATGTATATTATCCATGGCGGTGTTTCATACCATGCATCGTTAAGTCTAATTTTGAATGAATGATAGTGGCAGTCGAGCACCTTGTAAAAGAGATCGTCCAGTGAAGTAATGCCACCTTACCTATTTCTACCGCCAAACAGTAACATGAGCATAACTGCGTTCCGGCTTAGAAGGGTAAGGGTGTTGGTGAGGTGGTACTTGTCAACTTGTGACTCAGGTTGACGGGGAACAATGGCCGTGTCCCTAAGATCTTTGCGATTAATAGTTCTGGGTGGCATTGCAACTGGTTTTACATAGGCGTTAGTAGATTGACGGCACAAATTTATAGGTGTATAAGTTATAGGTGAAACGCCTTTTTGGCAATCTTTGAATCATCGAGTATATAACCAGAAATAGAGACGAATCGTCATTTAATTTGTTTGAAAACTATTCTGCCACAACTGTGACAACTGCGCTCCGATTGGCCAGCCCGAGTTCGAAACAATTGACGGGTGTCGTCAACTGTTTCACTTCAAAACGACTAGTTAACTTGAGCTTTGATATAATGGACGAAAATTGCAAAATTACATATTTAATTACCGATGAAATGTAATTCCGTTTGTTTTGTAATTAGATATTTTGCTGTTTTTCCCACACCACCTAATTGAACAGCACGGCATTGATAGAGATATTATCTTTATTACAATAAATACAGAATATTTTTTGGAATATACGGAGACGTACTCACAGGTCAGTAGTTGGCCTGTCTATATTTCAGTGCAAACGAGAGTTGATATTTATAAGAGCTATATCGCTAATGTGTTACCAGGAATATATGGCCCTTATTTCGTCTCTATTTCTGGTTATATACTCGATGCTTTGAATGAATGAATGATATTTATTTGCTTAAATATGGTTTACAATAATAGGTGGTACAAGTATACATAATAAAACAATTCTCATATTTTCCGCTATCGGCATGCGAATTTATGGATGTGAACATTTTGGCAGCTAAGCATTTCTAAAGCAAGCCCTAACATGTAATATAAATAACATATTATAATAGTAAGTTGTTGCCATGTTATGAAGATGTCATAAAATATAAATACATTCCTTATCAAATAAGTTAGGTGGTCAAATTTATTGAGAATTATATGTAAAGTAATTATTAATTGAATAGAAATTTTTATCTCTTAGCCATGACTTCAGCTGACGTTTCAATAGAAGATTATTTGTCATTTTTATGTCAGAGGGTAAAAGCATTAGATCCTCACACACATGGCCCCACTTTTGGTGAAGGCTTATGTCTAGCAGTTGACGTCTTTTAGCTGAAATTATGACAATTACGTCATAATTATTAAACAATTAATCGTTCATAAGACAGATTCCTTTCCATGATCACCTTATATCACTTACAATATTTATTTAAAAATAGCATTACCTCATTGCATTTTACCTTTATCATCCATTTCAGGGTTTAAAAAGAAACTTGCCATTTTATTGTTTTTAATTAACGAAGTAGCCAGTTCCAATGTCAAATAAAACTCTGTCACAAACAAATAGGTTTGATGATTAATTTCCTTCTTGAAATCATTGCGTGCCCTCCAATTAGGCAGCTAAATAAGTAAAATATACTGTATTATCGTAGTGTATAAGTTACTAATTAGCAGAGATCGTAATATAGTACACTTGCTTAAACTCCAAGGAAGGTATACACGTAGGGTAGATAATACCGCCCTCTAAAATACCGGAAAGATTAAAAATAAAAAGCAAAAAATTTAAATTAAATAGTATGTTTTTAATTACAATTACAAATACTTATATTTTTAAATACCGTTGAACAAATTGCCGTTACAAATATAGAATAAAATACAAAACAATAATTCCGGTATTTGAGAGATATGCATTACTCACTCTATAGTCGCCTTAGAGTGAAAATCTCGCATACGCGTTTTTACTGATTTTTGTTGAATAAAAACTAGTAAACTTCTTGCTCAAATACTTTAAAGTAATTTAGTATCTGAAAGAGATATAATTTAACTAATTAAAACATTAACTACAAACATTGTATTTACTATATTTTACAGCACATTTTCATCTTCATCCTGAAAAATATGTAGAACTCACGTACGAGGTATTCACTCTAAGACGATGCTATGTGGAAAGCTCAATTTACATTGAACTGGATGTAAGCGAATTATTGTAACGGCAGTATAATGTACTTTATTTCAATAGTGTAACGTGCAAACTAGATACGACCCAAAAAACAGGCCGCGCATCTTTAGGACGTCCTTCAGAGAATTTGCGATTTGGTAAGCTACACACAGTTGCAGTGCCACTGAGAGCTTTAAATCGCAAAGATCTGAGGGGCACTGCCTGTCACCCTGAGACATAACTTGACAAGTCCCTGTTGTACTTCCCTGGACAAACTCTTTCACGAGGAGCTCTACTGCTACTAAAATATAGGATAGACTCAGCGACCGCCCATAAGATGCCTATTTAGTTGCATTTTAAAGATACTCGGGTTGTATATGCTCGGAAACACAGTCGCAGAATGGGAATTCCACTTCTGGGCTGTCCGCGTAATAAAAGATGACGAAAAACGCTTAGTACACCTGAAGGGAATATCAACCAAGTGAGGATGACGTCCCGCCGTACATCTGTAAAAGAGAGCGGGCGGGATGAGCTGATGGGGCTCATGGGCATACATTTCCTGCAGCTACCATATCGTATCTAGTTTGTACGTTACACAATTCACATAAAATTCATTGTGCTATGCCTTGAAACTTATACTCCGTCCTACCATTTATTTAATTTTTGACAATGCATGCCTCCGAAGTTCCGTAATTATTGACATACAACTGTAGACAAAAAAATGCAACACTTCCTGGACTATTTTATTTTTTATTTTAGTGAATCGACATGCTTTTTAGCTCCGATATTTATCGAGCCAATAGATTATGTAACTTTTTGCACCTGATAAATTTTGGTACCTGTCTAATAAATTGTGCCTAAAAAAACTGTCTAATGATTCTTCCCCGTATGATCGAGAATCGTCACTGAATCCTCATTAACATTAATTATTAATTCTTTAGTACACTGTCAAACGCAACATCACGATCCCAATCAGACAATATCTTTTTTTAGAACCCCCACACATTCACGATTTAAACTTCTTCATAAATAAAATCGATTCATATAAAAAAAACGCATTAGGACATCACTAATTGATTATAATTCGAGCTGACAAAAGTTGAATAAAATGGTTGGACGGAGTATAGGTAAATATAATATTTTAATACGATGTCTGCTAATTATTTATGTATATACATTGTTGTTGTTCTTGTCTAAAATAAATGCTTATTATTATTGTGTAAACTTTTTCTTCCACATACTAATATTATTTTCTGTGTTTTTCCAGTTTTGCTTATGTCCTGGTTCGGAGTAGAGGAAATAAAGGCAAACTCGTGTATTCGCACCGGTAATATTTGCATTTTTGTTAATCTACCCTCACAATGTGTCGTCGTTTAGTTCGTATAGAAGTGTATCGTGTTCTAAAACTTCCAAGCAAACATATCTGATGCTTATCTACGTGTGACGCTTTACTGTTACTGACGCCTTTTTACAAAAAAAATTAACAATTAACAACAAAACGGTAATGTATTTTGAAAAATAAATTTATTTATACAAGTAGAAGTAAATTAACATGCTATTCCTCGAACCCAGTGAAGGCCAATTCGTGCAAAATAGCTGCGCTTGTGTTGAATATTTTTTTACTAAAAATTAATAATAGTATTATAAGCAATCCTTGCATAATAAGCGTTCTTAAAGTCGAGTAATGTGTTAGTAAGTAATAGGTACGGATTTTAAGACCTAATTATGTAATGATTGCACACAATACTTTTTCTACGTGTAAATAAAATATTGAAACAGAACCAATACTTACTGTATATTTTGTTAACAATCCATAACAACAAATTTTAACCCATTTACTAGGGTAGTAAAAGGTTCCACCATAAAGCCTCTTCATATATTTAGGCGAAAGACAAACAAACGCTATCAAACAAAAAACCAAAGAGATAAAATAGAACTGAAACAAGTAGTGCATACATTTTTAAACATTTTTTTTATAAAGATTTATGGTCCGGTTGCAAGACTTTTAACCAATCAGGAGGCAGTATAGCGTTTTTTAATTAGCAAAAATACAACGTTCTTTTTTTGAAACTCATTAAACTCGTTGCGAGTACGATAGACAATAGAATTTTGATTCAGAACTAAAAAGAGCGCCTTTATGCATGGTTTATGAAATTATAATTACAGATTAAAGTAACTGCAGTTACAAACACCACTTTGCCTCTCTACGAAGCATCCTCAGGTGTTGTTGGAAGAAAATAACACAATTTTCTCAAGTCTTTTTCTCGAATAATACTCTATCTTCCTTATCATAACTAACGCAATCCACATTTTTTCCGAAATTGATTTTTTAACATATCTGAAACTAGATCTACAAACCCATATAATCGTTTTTTATACCGTATTTCGTTTCAGTTTTATTAGGAAATGAAATGATTATTCCGGATTTAAATCGCATATCGCACTAATCGCGTCTCACGGTTCACTGAGGTGAGGTGAGTTCAACCGCGACCGTGGCCTGTGAAGGGCCCGAAACGTTGGTTTGTTTGTAAAAAAACAAAATATACGCGATTTAAATCCGGAAAAATAGTGCCATTTCCTATGTGTAACAATCGCGAAAACTTAAGAACTGGATTCTGTTCTATTGTGAATCAAAATTAGCGAATGGATATTTTTTTAAGTGTTACTGTCACTTTTTCAACTTTAGTTGCCAATATTTGAAAAGTTACCGAAATGCAAATATGTTAGTTATGACAAGAAGAGCAGTACACATGTTAATGGATTTAGTAGCAGTATAGCTCCTTGTGAAAAAGTTTGTCCAGGGAAGTACTGCCACCTCACCTATTTCTGCCGCCAAGCAGTAATGTCAGCATTACGTCGTTCCGGCTTTGAAGGGTAAGGGTGCTGGTGAAATTACAGGCACATGGCACTTGGCAGTGCACCTCAGATCTTTGCTCTGAGTGTCACTGCAACTGTTATGAACAGGCGTGTCGCTTAACACCAGGTGCACGACTTGTTAGTGTAACTCCGTGCTATTTTACACGATTTATTCACTGGATTCGCGACGTAACAAGATAAATTGCTTCCTTTTTAATTGTGATTTAATGTCACTATAATTATGAATACTTTGAATACATTGTTCATCAATGGTATTCCATAATATTATTACCAATCAAACATTGGAATGGGCACAGGATCTTTACATAAATTTCACAGCAAGTAATAAACATACAATGCATTCCTCTGAAATACCGGTAATATTATATTGTATTTTGTTAAATACCGGTAATATTCTATTGTATTTTGTTCTTAATTTTGGTGTGCTAGTAATTATTTTACTACGGTAAAATTGGTTTTGTTTTTTTTCCATTTTTTTTAAATATTCCGGTATTTCACAAAGAGGTATTAACTACTCTATGTGTATTAGTTGCAGTTTAAGTAAATCTACAGTACTTACTACTAGTACTATTTCGATTTGTGCAAATAATAACGTACCAGTCAACTACACCAATCGCCTGGTCTAGAATTATCCGTGAACCAGCACGCTCAGGTAATAACTTAGAACACCCGAAGTAGGACCAATATAAACAATTTGTTTTTTAAATTGGTTCTATCGGAAATCGGACTTCGAATCTACTCGTGTAGTCGTCAGAATGTAGCCAGATGTAGCTGTCAATTAAATTATGGAGTTTCTGACTTACGGATAACAGCCTGTACTTTATTAGTCTAATTCCGGTGGCGAACTTCTAATTCCACGGTGAGTCAAAAATGTCCATAAAAGATAAAACTTTTCTTGATCTTTTCTTGTCTGAATCCAATAGAAACTTATAAAATTTGAAAAATATCAAAAAGCAGATGATATGTTTGCGTTTTTTTTCAATTTGTTTTTTAAATGTTCGAGTGTCCACAGGAATGTGTGTTGCCATGTTTCAAGGAATGGGTAATTTTTGCATGTTGAAAAATATAGAAAATAACACTTTAGGACAAGTTAAAAAAAAAACGATTTCATGGTTGTTTTTAATATTTTTAGTCCAGAGCAAAATCATTTTTAATAATTCACCAGATTTTACAAACAACGTAATGCTGAATCGACATTTATTTCAATAATTCACTCGATTGAAAAGAGCCAAATTGTGAAGTCGTTTATTTTACTACATCTACCTAAAACAACTAAAACACACACAAATAAGAACCCTGTGAATAACTGAGTATTATTATATATATAAGAATAGGATTTTTTTTCTCACACAAAAAGCACACATACATAAAAATGTAGATTGGTTGGTAGCCGTGAAAAAGTTTAAAATTTTTTTTTCCAAAAACTTCAATTTTTTTTACAAGATATCTAGAATTTAAATTAGGCCCAGTCTACGTATTTTTGTTTTAGACGTTCAGTTATTTACAGGAATAGATTTTGTACTGCCATCTCCGACACGTTTTTTTAATCTGTCTTTTCTTTATGTTTTTTTAATCTTCTTACTAATTGAGGCATGGGTTTTCAGCGTTTTGGGCTCTAACCTTCAGCCCACTTGTACAGGCCGAATGCCAAAGTAAGTACTCTAAAAAGAACCTTTTTTATATATCACAAAAAATGCTTCCGTGCTTTCTAACGTTTACGCCTTCTATCACTTTATATTTCACTGTACGGCATGATTTTTGCAGAAATGTCGTTGAAGTATGGGTCATATAAATTTTTCTCAGGTTTCCAAAATTATAGAGATTTTTTTTTGTTAATTATGTAACAGTTATCCGATTTACATCTAGCAATGCTGATCCATAGCTTTGTCTATTTAATTTGTGACTAAACGTAGCAAACAGTGACAAAACTTAATAAAAACAAAGAAAAATTTCCGACTTTTGAGGTTGACATTTGACATGTTTGAATACGTCTTTGATACAAACAAATGATAACAAAATTTACTTGTAATCAATATTTATGTTAGGTATTGAAAAATATATTTTTTAATACAGTTGCTCAAAACGTGGTATTTTTCGTACTACAAATCGTGCCGAAAGTTGGAATTTTCGCACTAGTGCTTTTTAACTTTTCCATTTTTTTTTAAATTTACTGTTGTTACAAGTCTTAAGCACAGAACTAAAGAAGTTGTGTATTTATTTAATATTTATGTGCTTTGTGACGTAAGTCATTCGTCTTTAAAACTTATATTTACTTACAAATACTATATAATGAACGTATCGAGTGGAGGTCCACAGTCTCTGCCTACCCCTGAATGGGTGACAGGCGAGATTTTTATGTATAAATTTGTTCTATGTATTACAGATAAATTGTATCTCACTACCGTGCACGGGTTCCTAAAGAAGTTTAAACAAAAGTACCAGGACTTCATAATAAGAAAAGTGGTTACAGACCGATATTACAGAAAATAAACAAAAACAGCACGTTAGAACTAGATTTCCATAGACTTTTAAATAATGGTTGCAGTGGTTGTATTTCATTATTTTAATTTACTAGCAGAAAATGAGTTTATTTTAAATACTGTTTTATTTTACTTTCAATGTAGTTTTTTCGCAAATGTATTAAAAAACGTCGTTTGATACACGTGCGGATTTGTCATTTTCACTTGTCTCGCGTCTTGACCCTCGCCTCTGGCTCGGGCCAAGAAGCCTCGAGACTCGTGAATAATGACTAACTTTCCGCACTTGTGTCAAAAATAACTATTTCGTTTGTGTTTAACACAGTCAAGAACCTTTATTATATCCCATAAATAAACCAATCTTAATAATATCGATGGTTTAAAATGTCAATTACTGTAAGGAACACCACGTGCAAGAATTTAATTAATAAAAAACATTTTTTATAACTAACAATACAAATATTTATTGCACACTAGGACAAATACATAATCATACGAAAAATAAAAATAAAAAAGACAGGTAAAAATCGGCCTTATTGTTATAAGTATTTGCTATACTTAGAGATTGCTCTCGTCCATGCAGTGGCAAGGCGTCAAAATTGTCTTTAGTAAAGCGGGAGCAAAAGAAAAAACACTTTGTTTGCTAGACGTCGGGTCGAATCCGGCCGGATCGAAGGAATTTATTCTATTGTTCGATCTTTGTGTTAATAATTATAAAAAACATTAAATTAACAAGTGGCGCCTTGGCAATAACTAAACACAGCACTAATTAGCACATAAGATACCAGTACACTTTATTTCACTGGTTAATTATATTGTACCATGCAACCTTCGGGTTGCAGGAAAAACTGTAAGATAATAATTAATTGAGGGCGCAACAGAATACGTATGTAATACACATATTGCACATGAATTATAACTCGTTAAATTTTTACTTCCTGCTATGGTGTAAAGGAGCAAAGAATCCACGCCTAAACAGACAAGTTCTCGAATTTCTCAGTACAGCACCATGAAGCCATTACAACTGCTGTATTTTAAATTATATGTGTATCATACAGTCAGCGAAAACACAAATACGTAAATCAATTGGGTCAGGAAACTTTGAGAATACAGAGTCGCAAATCGTCTTCAGGCTAAATCTCTATCCATTAGAACATTTTTTAAGAGCTTAAGAGTGCTACCATGTCTGATATTGCGGCCACATCAGTCCATCCACTCCATGTACATGGTTATGAACCTGTCATGAGCTGTCTCACAAAGGCAACAGCGCCTAAATATTTAAATAGTTTAAAATTCACAAAAGTTATTTTGCTTTTAGTTTTTTAACAGGCATTTTTTTACGTCAAGTGTGACCTGTGCCGCTGCATTTGTACACCACAGCGTTGGTCTTTTATTGAACACTCTAGACCCACTAGGTTTATGTAACACCTACATTCGAAGACGCTTCTGTATAAAATCACGCTAAAACGTAATTATTTTGCTTTCTATTTATTATTATTTGAATATAAATATTTCTTATTTTACACTATATTTCAAAACATACATTTACAAGTACATCAACGAACATTTTATTAAAATAACGTAGACTGGGCTTACATAGTTATTTATATTTTTTAGGTAAGTATATCAATATAGTTATATGCATATATACAACGACATTGTTAATACAACAATCTGAAATCATTTGATAAAGTCCGTAGTAAATTATAAAATGTTATTCATTTTTTGTTGTATACATAATTATACACTATTATTAAGAAAATTTTATATTGTTTTGTGCAGATTATTAAACAGAACAATATAAAACCTTTCTTGTATACATTTAAGTTACATCGGCTTAATTTTATTGATACCAGTTAATGTTTACCGTTATCTTTACTTCTAGCTTATTGTATTAATGTTAAATAACATAACAGTGTTACAAAAAGGAATACACCCGCTTTTAAAATTAAAATTATCCTAAGCTTTATATTTTATTTTTCTATAACAATGAAGCATGTGATTTTGTAGTAAGTTACACAACTATACCATTTATCCTTATGTAACAAACTGTTAAGTTGTATAAGAAAGATAATAACACACAGAAAAATGTAAGTATTATTTTAATAAATAAATATACATTTTTGTTGAAAGGTAAGTATGTATATATACAATATAACCTCTGGTATTGTTAGACTCATAAAGCTTCACATAACGCATGTCCTTAAAATTAGTTGAAACAATTTCTGCAATCCTGGTTAAGCAGCGTACGATAATAAAAATTTCATGTTGTGGAAAAAAAATGGAAAGGTTATTGCTCGGAAACGCCATATAGGAGCGAATTTTAGGTATCACAGCGACTGTTAATACGGGATGTACAGTCGGTGCCCTAACTTAAGTATCCACTATTTGTACTAAGTGCTATATAAATAGTGGATACATAAGTCGACAATGCTATTATAAAAATCAGTACCGCGTGGCACACAGCCACAAGGATTAAACGAGCCTTTGTTATGCATTATTATGTTCTGTTCACATTACTGTGTGTGGTAAATAAATGGTTTAAAGAAATCAGGGCACCGATTGTATCACCAGTAGTGCATTCACCTATGCAAGCTGTGTGAGTCGCACCACTGCCCTGTGTGTGGGGCAATGGTGAGGGAGGGCAGACACCATGGTTTATGCTGCCAAGAGTTTGCGAGTCATTTTCCTAGACACCACGTCATAAACGATATTGTGCGATGGGCGATGGTTTCGGTTAATGTCCCTTGCGTGCTCGAGCCCCCGGGTTATGGGGTCTACTCACATTCTCCGTTCGACGAGCGTCCGAAACAATTAGGTACTGTCAAATAAGTAAATTAGTAGCAGTAGAGCTCCTTGTGAAAGAGGTCGTCCAGGGAACATTACTGCGTTTCGGTTTTTGAAGGGTAACTTGTCAACTTATGTCTCAGGGTGACAGGCGTAGTGGCAGTGCCTTTCAGATCTTTGCGATTTAAAGCTCTGAGTGCCACTGCAACTGTTATGGACATGCGTGTCGCTTACCACCAGGCGCACGACTTGTTCGCCCCTCACTTGATATTATAATAATCTCAGTACAGAATACTAAAAAAACCGACCTCAAAAGTACGTGGTATTACGTCTATTTGCTAAGTTTTATTGAAATATCTACTTTTTCGCCACTATACAGGACTTGACACTGGAGATAATAAAAATTGGTTCTCACTACGACACTACACAAAGTATATTGAGATAAAAACGCCTTGAATTGGAGAAATAGCAAAATCAACCATTAAAGTAATTGCTCCTAAATTAAAGTTAGGCGCTATTTATAAAAATGAATCTTCATGCGTGAACAGCCACCCTTAGAGGTGGATGATTTTCTTCAAAATGAAACGGGACCACTATGAAAGTACCCCCTTTCCAACAAAAAAAGAATCATGAAAATAGGTTCACAAATACCGGAGTTATCGCGTAACATACATACAAAAAAAAAGAGCATACAGTCGAATTGAGAACCTCCTCCTTTTTTGAAATCGGTTAAAAAATATAACTCGACCTAATCACAAGACATTTTAATATTGTCGAGTGTTACTTATTAGATTGTTTTTATTTGATTGAGCCTAATCGACGATGAAAGGCCGCGTGGTTTGACATGGGTTCCTTGGCGGAAAGGTCGTTGTCTTCTGTAGGACGCAACGTGTGTATATAACAACTAATTGTGGCAATTTTCCCACGACAAAACGGCGAATTATCATATTACTCAAGCACTAAAAAAATGTACACATCGCTGTGAAACCTAGACAGATTGATGCAGTAAATAAATCATAATATGTTATATAATATGACACATTTTCGCTTAATGGCGCTTTTGACTTTTCATTGACCTTTTCACTCACGAACTTTCCATTGACTTTCCTAAGAACTTCATCATTCAACATAGTACATAATTAGCAGCAAATTCTATTATAGCATTTGCTGTGTATCTTCTACATCGCCTTAAATACTCGTCACTGTATCATTCCACGCCATAATAAAACAATGTTAGAGTTGTTTTAATTTTTTCATTTATACTCATGTAGGTACATGTTTAAAGGAACGCCAAAATAAGATTGAACCATCATAACAATGTTCATATGAACCAGTAACACAAAGAAAGAATGTCTCTAATCGCCTTTTTAAATTATTCAAATACAAAAATTAAAAAAGAACACCATCGTTTTTCTTTTTCGATTACATATACCGGTACATGTAGCCAGTGGCATAACTATCATGTAGGTAATCTGTGCCAGTGGTTTATATATGAACCTTGTTATCATTGTTCCACCTTTTTAGCGTCTCTCTAAATATGTCCATTATTCTAGTACAGGTGCTAAAATAGCAAAATAATTTATTTCACAATATACAAACGGAGAGATTTACAAAAACCAAGAAATTACAGCTCAATGGCAGTGTAAATTATTCGCTGGGTCTACACCCGGATTAGGGTATTATTAAAAAATACACGATTAACGTTCTATTTAAATAATAATAATTTGCATACTTTACCATTGAAAATCAATACTAATTGGCTTAGCATGATCGGAGAATTCCTGTACTTCACTGAATGACCTAGATAGCTATAGGCATTTAATGTTCAATTATTAATTTTATATGTATAATATGAATAACTAAAATTCATACACCTTTCTATGTTTAATAAAATGTTTTTGTTTTATAATATTTCTGATTTCCGTGGTAATAGAAAAATAGCCAAATGAATCAGAAAATATATTACGTTGAGGGCAAGTTACCTAAAATAATTTTCTTAGAAGAGACTCGTGAACAACAGTAGCATTTAAATGGTACGGAAATTATTTCAACATTGAAGTGTCCTTAGCGTGACTAAATTTAGCCTTGGAATATAAAAGCAAAGTTGGGTGCAAAAATAGTTGTAGGGTTATTGAAAAACCTATACTAGATCTAGGTCAAACGGTTTGCACGAAGGGTGTCGATTCTAGTTATGTTAGTCCGGGTTCTGTATCATTTTCGGGTATCAGACCTTCGACGCGTATCACGATTGTTATTGTAAAGTGATACGCGGTAATGATACGTCGGTGAAACACAATACCCCAGGTGAGATCAAAATAAGCTTAAGGGAATAATAATAAGGGAAGTAATATTCGTTTAGTCTTATTTTCTTACGAGAAATGGGAAATTAAACTTAGTAAACTCAACGTTTGCCGGGTTGTGAAAATTATAGAAATTATATAATAATTAGTATCCGTTGTTTTATTCCGCGGTGTACTACTAAATGCTATTTTTACTGTTTACCTACGTTTCATACATATCGACATTCTTTTGAAAGTACATTTACAATGAATTAAAAAGTGTCCAATCATAATTATCTGTCAAATCAGAGATGAGAAATAATTGTCATCTGTTTTCTTACACTAAACCTATAATTCCGTATGACTTAATAAAACTTATTATCATGAATGTTACGCTTTTCTTCTAATTTTATTATTTATTAGAGTTAACTCTGAATTATTCTAAAACAATCGTATTTAAAAAAGATATATATGTAAATAAAAAGCTTCGTTAAACCGAGTGTCTCTTTCATATCATAAGGTCTTTAAAGCAAACAATCACATAAAAAGAAAAGCACATTTTCTTCACAAATTGTCGGTTTAAAAAAAATACATTAAGATAATTAATTAGTGTTGAAAATTTAAAAAAATTATTCAGATTTATGTTAAGAAGCAAGTATAATCTAAAACATCGCTCATTTCATACTGGAAAAATGTTCATTTAATAATGACATCGCCTAAAATCTATCCATTCTCTGATTCCAGCCCGCACCATATACTGTTACGAGTGCGACAGCTGGACCGACGCGCGGTGTAAAGACCCCTTCAACTACACTGCGTTACCACGAGACCAGCCGCCATTACAAACTTGTAATGGCTGCTGCGTCAAGATGGTCCGGTATTCGAAAAGTCGTAAGTGTTTGCCTTAAAACTTTACTATTCTTTCTGGTGGTACAATTTTTGGTAGAGAACCTGCCTGCTTAGATTCTACCGCATTACCATTTCGACTGCAAATGGACACTAGTGTGTTCTGGTTTCATGTGTAGGGAAAGCGGGCTCTTGCACTTTGCAATGATAGGCATAGTGGACTAAATCTTATACTCGCTGTTAACACGAATGACGTAACGTATTTTGACAGAAAAAAATGTATTTACATATTTCCACCGACAGTTGAAACGGCGTTTATGACAAAAACTCAAAACCGAAAAAATTATATGAAAAGAAATTAACGAAAAACGTCTACATTTCTCTTGCGATAACTTCATACCTTAACCACTTGGTAAAAAGTAAAAATAGTGATAGATAAGCCTTTTTTTTTTACTGATCATGGCAGTATACATGTAATAATGGCATATTTTGGCAAACAATCACCATGTGTAGAAAGCACGTGTGACAAAGTATTCGTCTTGTTTGCCTATTCGACAAATAAAAAAACACCAAACTTGCGTTACCGCGCGCTCGTCGGCTGGTACAACAAATCAGCCTCTTCAATAATATATATAGACGAAAGCGTAACAAACGCTACAAAACAAAAAAGCAAAGAAAGAGATAGAATAGAACTAGGAACTGGCCAAATACCGCATACATTTATAAACATTTAGGACCCGGTTGCAAGACTTTCTGGCCACTTTAACCAATCACGAGGCAGTATAGCGTTTGAGTAGCGTCCTAATTGGTATTTTAAATAACAAAAATACGTTTTATTTTAAAACTCATTTACATAGTTCTGTGTACAAAACTTTAATGAAAAGTATCAAAAACAGAATTTTGATTCAGAACTAAAAAGAGCTCCTTCATGATATGGCTTATGAATTTATAATTGACAGATTAAAGTACGGAGTAAAAAAACATAAAATATTGTTCAATTCACGTTGCAGGTAAAATAATACGCTTGTAGTGTAAATTTTAATGATATTATGTTCTTTCCAGCGTACGAAGTGGTCCGTCGAACGTGTACCTCTCAGCTTCAAATAAATCTCTTCATGGTAGACCACGTGTGCATGATGGAAAGTTCCGGGACAGGCCACATGTGTTTCTGCGAGGAAGACATGTGTAACACAGCGTCGACAGTCGGCCCAACACTAATTCTCGCACTAGCGCTCGCATGTCTTGCATGCAGGTGAAGTAGGAATAGTGATGGGTTTAGTCGATCGATTTTGCATTTATGAAATTTGTAAAAAAAAATTGGTGTGATGGTTGTTTAAGAGAAATATTTTTGGTGATTGTGATTTTATTTGTGGTGAAAGATTGTGAACAAGTGCAAATTATTAATGGCTTTGACATAAATTAGGTATAGTTTTACTTTAATATAAAAATTAAAAATACTTTTTTACAAAACCAAAATTGAAGAGCGAATTATACATTTAGTGACGTGTGAAAAACCAAAATCGATCGACTAAGCCACCCCCGGCTCCAACCTAGTTGAGATTTGACATTTCTTCGTCCAAAGTAGTGTTGTAGCTTAGACTTAACGTTTAGTTTTCACAATATTTTTTTATATTTCAAAATCAGATGAGCAGTTTAAATGGGGAGACATTTTGTTACTATTTTTTATTGTCTCTGGTGTGTAATAATAATAAATTACGAACATTTAATAATAATAAATTAACGATATTTAAAATACGTATATATTAGTGAGTACGCAGACCGTAGATTTAAAAAAAATGGTTGTGAAAACTAGACGCAATTTTTTTCTCCTCAAGCAACTTTTCATGATTGCAATATTTTTGCTCTAAAACTAACCGTAGACTAATTTAACATAGTACTTAACTAAACGAATGAGTTTTCCAATACTTTAACTTAAAATGTTTAACTAGCGTGTATATAATGCTCACATAGTGATGCGATCGTAGAGTTTTTTTAAAAATTTTAGTTACTTTTTTACTGTGAATGGGGTATTTTAATTAATTCTAGATTATAAAAAGTATGTAGATAGTTGGTATACATGGGAAAAACATTCTAAATAAAACATAAATGTAAGCAAAGCCTGGTCTTAAATATTTGACTTTGGGGTTTCATTTAATGTTTTATAAGACTACAATAACTTTGGTTCAAAAATACCCTTTCATAGTTTTAAAGAGACGTAACTAAAATGACATCAAATTGACATTTGACATTCAAAAGCTGTGACTCGACGCTTGGTCCAATATTATATACGTTAGACCGATTGCTCATAGAAGCACTTATAGGCGTGATGCACATTTTAGATAGAAATTGAAGAAAATTAGATTTTGGTGTTTTGGACTAACATAACGGCCAAGGATATCTAATTAAGGGCTTAAAAGTTATCAGTTAAAAAAAAGCTGACACATTGAAGTTAACCTTAGAACGTTTCTATACTTGGGTATAAGCTTAGCTAATCAAAAGGGAACGTCGCCTCTTATACACAGTACCCCAGACATGTATATAATACATCTTATTTCTATTATTAAATACTATATAAATACTTGTTGTTAAATTTAAAAGTTGGAATTAATAAATTGCACCCATATTCTTGTGACAATTTTTTTAAATAACGTTTTTTATTCACGATAATCTTGCTCGTCGCTGTATGCTTAGTTCAAAAACGTAGTATTCTGCAATACTGCGTTTTGGTATAAAGGCGGCGATATGTAATCAATAATAAAGTCAAAAACATTTACATTATAATGCGGAATGCACCATTTCAAATAAGTAATACTTGACTCACGATTAAATAGCTTGCGTCTAAATTGAAGCCACTGAAAATTCACAGTCGATGGCCTATGCCTGATCCTCTTCAACAGAGATATAATAAAGAAATTACCTTGCTTATTTCTACCGCCAAGAAGTAACGAGCTTTACTGCGTTCCAAATTTGATGGGTGAGGGTGCTGTTGAAATTACAGGCACCTGGGACTTGTCAACTTATGTGTCAGGGTGACAGGCGCAGTGGCAGTGCCCCTCAGATATTTGCGGTTTAAAGCTCTGAACGGTATTGCACCTGTTTAGCTCAGGCGTGTCACTCGACATGACGTACAAACACGTTAAATGTCAATGATAATGTAGATGCCATAAATGATAAGTTTTAGTACATCGACTGTACGTGAGCTTAATTATAAAAAATATATATGTATGACCTGATTTTGTAGAACATTTTGAGAATGTACATGATACACCAAAATCAGTTGATGAAGCCACGTTTATTATCTTTTTTCAAGGCGTGGTAGATATTTTTCGAATTCTTAGACAGGGTTGTAGAACAGTCTGAATGGAGATCCCGATACAGTGTTAGTCCAAAAGATTCAAAATGTTATACTAAATAAAAAGTAAACTAGCAAGAACTGCCGCATAGCATAGATGGATTAATAAGAAATTAGTTAAGATTTGAGTGTGGATTGCTACAAGAGATAACTGATAGGGTTTTCGTTTTTAATAAAATTTTTAAAATTTCACCGTCAAAATAAATAAGTTTATGTTTACGTGTTTTGTGGTGTTCTTAACTTTCGTAATTTTCGGTGTTTTTGTAAAAATATTTTCTTTTAAAACACAAACAGAATTCGGTTCTAACGGTGCCGCAAAAAAGACTTGCTCTGTGCGCTCTTTCTTGGGAGTTAAAGATAATTTACAAATATTCCGTAATGTAATGAAAATTTTCCTTCAAAATTATAGTTATTTTTTTTATTAAACGCAGTTTTTCGTTGAATTTTTTAAAGTGTACAAATAAATTCACCTCTCACCTAGTAACAGTACTAATAGTAATAATAATAACGACAAAAATATTACATACAGATGTAATATTTTTGTCGTTATTATTATTACTTCCTTAATGGCAGCCACCAGGCTTGGGGCAGTGTCAGTTTTAATGGATGTTGTCGGTTAATACCGATCAAGAAGCCAACGTTTAGGCAGCAATGTATATATTTTTTGGAAGAACCCTCTCGACGGACTGCTGTGTAAAAAAACAATCATGGTCAAAACAAACTAAAGCATTGTACACTCCCGGACACATAATTCTAGCCACCTTGCATTTTTATCCTTAAAGGGCAAGATTATAAAAATATAGTTATCGTCGAAGACAAAGTTTTCTCCGGTTTTTTAAATACAAATTTTCAATAAGGACTTTAAGGAAATGACGTTCAGTATAACAGTTTCAAAGTTGCATAATAGTAATTAACCAATCAAGCATTGTTTAAGCTAAGGGTATTTATTATTGAAAATGCAAGGTGACTCGAATTATGTGTCCGGGAGTATATTATTACAGCATTATTCAGTATTGGTTGTCAAAAACGACCAATCACCTCTAGTCGTTGTACGTACTTTTTTTACGAACAAAATTGACACGAGCTATATATTGCTCAACATATGAAATGCTCAACCAAAAATTCAGTAGACTGAAAAATTTGCCTAATGCTAATTACAACATTTAAAAGAGAGACGATATTTTCTATGCATATTTACGTGTACATATTTTTTTTAATTCAAATGAACAAAGAAATAGCGCACAGTAGTACAGAAGTTATTTCGCAACACGCACATTAATTTTTTTATTAACTTGACAATATTATTGAATTAGTTATTTTAAATATTTGGTTATTTGAAAGTGTGGATTTTGGGAAGTATAACTTTCGGAGAAAACTAGTTTAGGACTTAGAGAAAAAAAAAAATTAGTTAGACATGCTATGCGTGAAGAAAGCATTACATTTAGAAACATAATATTGTGTTATATAAATTATATACTTTACTCCACACGCACGTTCCTGTTGTACAAAATTGAGACAGCAATTTAGTTTAGGCAAACTGGGGAAATAAGAATAATATTGTTATTTCCATTAAATTTATTTTAAGTCTATAAAAAGAAATGGGGAAAGTGGAAAACGTTGACCATGGCGTTAATATAACGTTACTTGGTACTTGGTGTAACGGGCTAGTGTCCGCAACTCGACGTTAAGTCACATTATCGTTGCCTAACCCAGTGGGTATACAAAGCTTAATGTCCCAACGTAACTAATAACTTCCTTTTACAGCAGGTTCTGGAATTTATCAATAAAATTTCAATCACACGATTGTTTACGCTCTCTAATTATATATTTGAACCTCGTGTTAATTCTCGCGTCGTCGAGTTAGTATATCATTTATAGACACAAAGAATATCTAGTGATAAATTAATTTTAAACATAAAAACACCAAGTAATATTAAATAGGTTAATGTATAAAATTATTGTTTTGTTTTTATTGAAGTTATAGACGAGTAGACATAACAGTGACAAAATAGTGATACGAAGCAATACAAGCTTTAGGCGGAAAATATAAAAAAAAATGTTGTAATATCTTTCTTTGTTAAAAGCTCTCGACTCAATTTAATCGTTCACTAAATTTAGTATTCCAATGTCAACTGTATAGTTTGAAAAATGGGTAACGTCTCGTAAAAATTGTCAAGGGTGTTTTCTACATGAAAACAGACTAAAATGTTGTTATATGAATCGTTTATATATTATATATTATTGTAAAAAAACTGGACAGCAAAAAAAGCTTTTTCATACGTCATCCTCATTCAATTTATATGTCCTACTGCTGGACACGAATCTGCTCTCAGCCAAAGGTTTTAGAATTATAACCTGCCATGCTGGACTAATGCAGGTTGGGATTTTGACACATTTTCCGAGGTTTCTGAACCTTCTTCGTAGTGCAGGTGCAGATGATGTTTTTCTTTTCTGATTCGCTTATAAATACCGAAAACTCAGAGGTACGAGCCCGGTTCGAACCCACGATCTCGGCTTGAGACGCAGCAGGTCGAACTATTAAGCTTTTTCATACGATAACATTTTATTATTAGCTAGCTTTTGTAAAAAGCTTTAGCTATTGCGATGTACATACTCATTGAACTACCTCCACAATATATTAATAATATTGAGTTGTGTAATTCGAATATTGAAATAAACATAATTATTTCTTGAAACAAACTGAACAGTATATCTACGATTGTTCCACCCCATGTGTATTGTTCCAGTTAAATAACTCCCTGTAATATGATATATTTTTTTTAATTTTCCGCCTAAATCATATAATCTATCAATATATAAAGAGAATATGACATTGGTTCCTCGGGAATATCATAAGTTTTAGCAGCAATAAATATTTATATCGCTAAAATTATCATCTTAAAAAAATGATTACCCATTTTGATATTACTACAGCCTTAAAGATAGTTGCTACTTTATTGAACGTCCTTTTTAATATGGAAATAGAGTAAACAAAATACATATTTTTTAAATAAATAGGTAAGCAAAACTAAAAACTGCTTTTAACCACACGCATTAGCCAATTCACTTTTGTATCATTAAGGCATTACTCATTTGCATGGCTACAATGATACGCGTCGATGATATGCGCGTATCACATGAACGCGTATCATTTTGCGTAACTATTATTGAACATACGCCGGAATGAAA